GTCAGGTTTGGACTGGAAATTCTGTCATCATATACCCACCCTTATGTCTCTCCAAACTGATTTTTTTTTTTTCTCCCCAGTGAAACATAAAAATATTTTTTTTAAGGAATAATGGACGACAGGCTGCTGAATTATTGAAAATTAATGCACACCTGAAGGTGAGAGTGTGGCCACAACATGAAGCAGAATGGCACCATGGGTGAGAATTAATTTTCAATAATTCAGTGGTACTTACATAACTCATTTCCATTAGAAAATGTGTGTGTGTGTGTGTGTGTGTGTATGTTTTTATATTTTAATGTTTTTTTTTTTGAAGAAGAAGTATGTTATGCTCATCAAGGCTGCATTTATTTAATCAAAAATATTTACAGTTTAATATAATGGTTTTCTATTTTACTATTTAAAATATAATTTATTCCTGTGTTGATATAATTTATATCATTCTAACATGCTGATTTATTATCAATGTTGGAAACAGTTGTGCTGCTTAATATTTTTTTTAGAACCTGTGATACTTTTTTGTGATAAGGATTATTTGATGAATAAAAAGTTATAAAGAACAGCATTTATTAAAAATATTTTCAAAACAGTATAAGCCTTTATTATAACTTTTGGTCAATTATCATGGAGATTAGTTCATGAAGTACTAACCCCAAACATTTGATCGGTAGTGTATATTGTTACAGAAGATTTATATTTTGAATAAATGCTGTTCTTTTAACTTTCCAATGTGTCTTCTTGCACTTAAATGCTTTAATATCGCTTAAAAGTTTAAATTGGCAAGGCTTAAAAACATGTGAAAATGATAAACGTTGATAAAAATCTGTCAACTGTCCCCGAGCGACTTTCACGTTGTCCCGGAAAATTGGGCAGTCCTTGTTATTGAGTCCTCTGTGTGTGTGAGTGTCTGGGCGAAACAGCATTAAAACAATAAAATAAAATAAATGCTTGTCTTTCATTCAGTTCTTTAAAACTAACTCTTGTCATGCATTTCTTAATATGCCACATTCACTTAAAAAAACCTGATGGAAATGTCCTATTTTGGAAATTTCCTTTGCATATTGACTGCCATTTAGGAATCTGCCAAGTTTCTGAGCTGGTGAGGATCAGTACAGACTCAACAGAGCAAACTATAAAAGCAGCACACCCCCAATGTGTTTGTTAGACTCACATCAATCACTGGCGCTTCCTAACGACATTTTCATTCACTTTTCAAGAACACGTGTGTTGATGCAGCTGTGGGGATCTGCAGTCAGCACTTTGTGGATTTATGAGTAGTATTAATCAATCTCTCCTGAGCTGGAACAGATCTTAGACAGGATTCCAGGAATGAGTCAGTCCAACAGATGGGCTTGCATGTATACATGTTTATATGAGTGTGTATACCATTATGAAGACTTCAGGTACAAATGGAAATTGATATTTAATTATGAAGTTTGATGGCCAAAAAAAAAAGAGTTAAAGGGATAGTTCATCCAAAAATGAGCGCACCATCATCACTGTCATTTTAAACATATTTTCATTTATTTCTTCTGTGAAAAAAAAAAAAAAAATTCTGCTATTTCATGCAACAAAAGAGGATGGTGTTATGCCAAGATATATAAAGCATGCTAAAAGTATCATAAAAGTAGCCTGTATGACTTTTTCACTATAATTCAATGTTTTCTGAAGCCATGCAATAAGCATAACAAAAGTTAAGCCATTATTCATTTCAAATTCGGCCATCATTTTTTGGTTTGATTTTAAGTTCATTATAACGAAGTCATACCTTTTTGTCGTTGTACTGCACAAGCATGAAGCAACGCATGGTGAGCTATTCAGAATTAATGGGTTCATATATGTAATGAAATTAACTCATTTGTAAGTCGTTAGTCCTTGAAAGCCCGTAAAACAAAGATAGTTTTGTATCCTAGTTTGAGTTAGGGTTTAAGCACTGTTTTTTTATTTGAGTCTCTTGAGACGATACGCTAGATAGTACAGGAACTGCTTCAACACTTCACTGACCCTGCATGAGTTTTACGACCGCAGCTGGCTGCAGAGGGGCTCCTCAGTTTGTCTCAATGGAATGTGATTGTTTCATGTGTGACTCAATAGTATAAGTGGGTCCGTTCGAAGACAGAGATCCTACATTTATAAAGACTGTATCAGGTGAAGTGTCAATTTTTGCACTTGTTCAGTTAATTAGTAGCAATTAGGATCAACCTGATGAAACAACTGTCAAAAGAAAGGCTAATAATTATGAAGAAAGATTTTACACATTTTGAAAAAAAAAGGGCAAAGTTTATATAAGGTCACAATGAATTACTTAATCCTGTCCTCATTAAAAAGTTTTGCACATTAAGAAAAAAATGTTACTTTTGAAAAAAAAAAAATGTACACTTACATTAGATCATATCAGTTGCCTAATAAAAGTTGTTTTGTTTTTGCATGGAGTGGGTCGGCCATGTTGAAATCACATGACCATGGTGAATACCATTCACTTCATCTCAGTTAATCCCCGATACACTCTTCCTTGTGGAATAATGAATCATGGATTTCTGAAAAGAGTGCATTTCTACAATGGCATCAGTAACTCGTAATAACGTCCAGTTTGCTTGCCTAATAATTGTAATATTTGTAATAATTGTTTGATAATTGTAGCGCATTTATACGGGATACACAATAAATTGAAATAAATTAATATCACGATATGGCTTTGTGTGATCAACACATTTAATTAAATAAATATATGTTCTGCAGGTTTCAAACTGAAGCATGGCACATTTACAAGCATGCAGTCTATGTTATGGAGCACGTGGCTTGGTAGTGTGAACTGAGCTGCTCTGAGACACACAAACACTGTATCATGAACTGCACAAATGAAAATAAAGACAGTACTGCCTGCCGCGCTTCGCTCTGAAACTCACAGAGTACTAATTTGCTGGTAAACCACATAAAAGCGTGTATTGCATAAAAGCTTGATGTTTTAATGTTTGAAAATGGCCATATTCTACATCCCTAATCCTACTCAATACCTAAACTTAACAACTACCTAACTAACTATTTATAAGCACTACGTTCACAACGAGTAGACCCGACAAAACCAAACTGAACAGACTGGGGCTTATAAACACAGGGCAATCAGGGGAACATGGGTGCATGGAATCATAAAGTAATCAAACTAAACAAGAACAGGAAACATACCAAATAAGGAAACACAGGAAGAACTACGGGGGCAAAACGGGTCCAAAAGTCTGACATTGGCATAGTGCTCCATTACAAAAATATTTTTTCTCAAAAATATTATAGGATATCCATCAGTAGCAACACCCATTTGGGAGCACGAGACTTATTAAAGTTGGCAGCCTCTGATTCAGGTCAGAGGTGTTTAGCTGACAAAAAAAAATAAATAAATAAAATTAAAAAATAATAAATTTTTATTTTGCCATACATTTTGGTTTGCATTAAATATTCATTAGGTTTAGTTGCATGTTCAGAGAGGGAGTGTTCTAGCAGTTTTGCCATTTTTTCATCAAATGACTCTTGACACTTTCATAAATGATTAAGCTGAAAATTCATGAGTGTAATTTCCACTTATTCTCAAAGCAATCAGAAAAGACAGCCAAGCCGTTTAGGAGCACTTGTTTATGTTTGCATTTCAGAGATTCAGAGCATCTGGTAATGGGGATTGTTCTGTCTAATTGTTGCATTACACAACATCAATCTAAGTGCATATCATTTTTATTATTGATCAACATTACGATGGCGCTGAGTACAGTGAAAGAGCACTCTAAGACACCGGTTACTGTTGATCCCTGGATGAAGTCATCTGCAGAAATCGATATGTCAGTCTGATGGAGCCAATACAAAACCCTGGGCAATTTGCCATTAACTTGGGCACAGTTTGAATCTGCTTCCTGTGAACCAAACATGCATTTGTTTGTTTAATTAATCTGTAAGAAAAGGGAATTAAAAAAACAGGTCAGTACGGGTCACAGTTGCGCTCTCCGCAGGGAAGACTCCTTGTTCTCTCAATTCACAGCTCACCAACACCAGGTAAGAAACCGATTTCTGTGTAGCCTTAAGCTCTCACAAACACTACCTGGAGTGACTGACCGACCCATTCATTCCAGCTCCGCAAGACAGGAGGGAAAACACACTTTGAAAAGAAATTAGGTTTCTTTCTCTAAATCCTAAATTTAGACCAATTTTATCTTTTTGAGCACTCATTTTGACACGACAAGCATCAGATGTGGCGTCCCAAAGCTCAAACTCACAGTGCTGCTTGCCAGCCGGGCTGCATGTAGAGATGTGCTCTCTCTATACGGATGTTACTGGCAAAGTGAAGCCGTTTGGGCAGGTGCTCCTTCAGATAAGGCCTCATCGGCTGATCAGGTTCTCTGCACTTCAAACGCAGAAAGAAAAAAGGACAGAATAAAGATTTCAACATGATTAAGTGGAAGATATGGTCTGTAATTGAGGTATGGGGATGTTGTGACAGGGTCGTACCGAAAGATTCTTCACCAGACCTTCATAATCAACTGCCAGATGAATACAGGGAAAGAGAAGAGATGCATTGTTTGACTTACATTTAATGAACAAAACACTTTTTATAAATGGGTGTTTCTTCAACTATAGTCACTTTAGACCAGTTGTAAAATTTTTTTATAATTTTTATATATATATATATATATATATATATATATATATATATATATATATATATATATATATATATATATATATATATATATAGTGCAATTATAGTACTATAAATACTAGTATATTTATAGTACAATTGTACCCATAACATGCTTTCTTGAAGTGTGTTAAAATGTATTGAATTGCATTTTAATGTGTTTTTAAAAAGTATACTAGAAGTACTTTGGTAATAAATGCTTAGTTGTGCTTTTAAGAAATATGCTAAAACACAAGCATACATACACAAGACATTTTAGTGTATTTACGGAAAACATACTTATTTTACTCTTACTTAAAGTATAGTTTATGTTTACTTTGTGTAAGAACATAGTAAAATGATTCAGCTTTTAGTGGGTTTAAAGTAACTGCAATATATTTTAAATATATATGTAATGATCATGTGCTTCAGCCTGCTTTTCAAAAGGAAGATATCTGAAAAAAAAAAACATTTTTAACATTTTAATATATTTCATAAAGTATAGTAATTCACTCACACATAAATACATTATAGCTATAAAATAAGCAAATGTATTCTTACATTGTACCAACTTATATTATAAATATAGTTATAAGCCTTAGTAATAAGCAAAATAATTATAAGCCTTAGTAATAAGCATACTTAAAATAAATATATTGTTCGCGTATATGGTTGCTTAAAGTATAGGTAGTGGCATTTTGTCTGTCATAACAACTATAAAAACATTGTCCAATGTATTGGCAGAAAGAATAATTTGTCGTTATAGCATGTATACAATTAACAAGCTTTTTTTTTTATTAAAATGAAGTTGTGTGTTTTTTTCCTCAACTATTTGTAATTGTAACAATTGTAATGAAGGAAATGTTAAATATAAATGAGTATTTCATTGTGAAATATTAAGTTAAAGTGCCTTAAGCTCTCACAAACACTACCTGGAGTGACTGACCGACCCATTCATTCCAGCTCCGCAAGACAGGAGGGAAAACACACTTTGAAAAGAAATTAGGTTTCTTTCTCGCACTTCCATCCCACTCAGTTCCTTTTCACAATACTTGTCACACATCCCTTGGCATGTCTCTCGTTTATCACTTGTGATTGAGTTGCAGCTGTGGAGGGATGTACGTCTCTCATTATAGGGTCTTTCAGATGTGCCCTGACACAAGAATGATCCAGTATAAATCAATCATGGTACATTTAGAGACATATTAGGGAGGTAAATGTGTTTCAGAGTGCCTGTTCTGAGTCTTTTGGTAGAACTGTAAGGCCCCAAAGAACAGGAAAGGCAGAAGGAGTGAGGTATTGTCAATACTGTCTGAACTGTAATGGATTATACCAGGACAAATGGGTTGGACCACAAGGGAAGGGGTGGATCGACGTGTCAGTATTACAAGTTGAAGAAGAGGCTTGGTTCAGCCACCAGTGCCAGCTAAAGTTGTTGGAGGCAGTAATCTACTGTATAGCTCCAGAAGAGTGTCTTTACCTTCACTCCTCTGAAACTATTGATTAACATCACTCATCAAGGACTGCATGGGGCCTTCAAGTAGATTTGTTATCCTTAAATGGTGGGCAAATGCTCAGACAAGTCAAATCATGCAGAAAAAAAAGAATCAACTCTTAAATCAACCCAGGTGAAAAAGAAGTACTGCTTAAAGTATAGGTAGTGGCATTTTGTCTGTCATAACAACTATAAAAACATTGTCCAATGTATTGGCAGAAAGAATAATTTGTCGTTATAGCATGTATACAATTAACAAGCTTTTTTTTTTATTAAAATGAAGTTGTGTGTTTTTTTCCTCAACTATTTGTAATTGTAACAATTGTAATGAAGGAAATGTTAAATATAAATGAGTATTTCATTGTGAAATATTAAGTTAAAGTTTGATGTTTTCAAATCAGCTGCTGTTGCAATAGAAGACAAATTGAAATCAGATTAAGAGAGTGGTAAGCATGTTTTAATCTCATATCAATGAATCTCACAGGTTTAATTCTGGCTGACATATTTCCTAATAAAGTGAATATTGGGGCTCTGAGAGTCATGCTAACTTTGGATTCAGCACTTCTGTTGTAGAGATGTTGGGCCTCTTCTAACCTTATTTTCAATGTAACAAAGTATTGTATGGTGACGACAGACAAGAAGATAAAAAGGACTCTCGTGTCAAGCTTGATGAAGATTTAGTTCAAGCTTTGAAAGGTAAACTGAGAACAGTCAAAGGGCCTGTTTACACCAGAGAAAATTTGATGTGAAAAAATGAAGTGACCAGGTGCAAACAAGACCCAAAGAAATTCTAATGCATATCTATGCTAATTATAATGCATATGATGTTCAAAAACACCACTCAAAACCACTGATTATTTTTGTTTTCCTTTCACAGACCCTGCAGTGTAGTTTTCAAAGACCACAGTGTCTGAATGGCAAGCCCTCAGATGCAGAAAATGCAACAAGTCGTACTCAAAGAAAAGTGATCCTCTACTTGAAGACAACGATTGTGACATTTGAAATGTCCTGTTTCTTTGTTTGGTTTAGCCATTTGCAGGCATATCTTAAAGAGCACTTCCAAAATAAAGAGTTAAAGTTTGATGTTTTCAAATCAGCTGCTGTTGCAATAGAAGACAAATTGAAATCAGATTAAGAGAGTGGTAAGCATGTTTTAATCTCATATCAATGAATCTCACAGGTTTAATTCTGGCTGACATATTTCCTAATAAAGTGAATATTGGGGCTCTGAGAGTCATGCTAACTTTGGATTCAGCACTTCTGTTGTAGAGATGTTGGGCCTCTTCTAACCTTATTTTCAATGTAACAAAGTATTGTATGGTGACGACAGACAAGAAGATAAAAAGGACTCTCGTGTCAAGCTTGATGAAGATTTAGTTCAAGCTTTGAAAGGTAAACTGAGAACAGTCAAAGGGCCTGTTTACACCAGAGAAAATTTGATGTGAAAAAATGAAGTGACCAGGTGCAAACAAGACCCAAAGAAATTCTAATGCATATCTATGCTAATTATAATGCATATGATGTTCAAAAACACCACTCAAAACCACTGATTATTTTTGTTTTCCTTTCACAGACCCTGCAGTGTAGTTTTCAAAGACCACGGTGTCTGAATGGCAAGCCCTCAGATGCAGAAAATGCAACAAGTCGTACTCAAAGAAAAGTGATCCTCTA